CTAGCAACTCAGTGAGCAATACAGAAAGAGGAAGGGGTTAACAACTCCAGCTCTTTCTCTGTTTTTCTTAATACATAGCTCAAGAAGAAATAGAAAGGAGGACAGTCAGGCATAGGCAGTGATCATCCATTCTTGCTGACTATATTGAGCACTTCAGTGGAGACAATTCTTTAATTTTTCCATCAAGAATTTTTTTTTGTTGTTCTTTCTGTGCTGATTGTGTGTGTGTGTGTGTGTGTGTGTATACATACATACATCTCGAGGAGGTCACGTATGTATCTGTACACATAGATATCTATACACATATATACACACACATATAATATATATGATTAATATACATATTTCTTTTTCTCTCATTTTTATCATTTTTAATGATAGTTATTTTTCCTTGTCTTTTGAAGGTTAAGGGTTTTTTTTGTTGTTGTTGTTTAGTTTGGTTTTATACCTCTCTCCCCCTCCCCCTTTCTCTCTTCTCTCTTTCTTTACTTTTTTATTTTTTTAATTTTTTTTTCCTGTTCTTCAATTGCCCCCTGCACTGGTCCTCTGAGGCTTTGCTATAGACCCATCTGAACTTTCAAAATGGGAAAGGATTTGTATATAAAATAGGTGAGTAAAAACATGAGTCTTTTACTGGAGTTATATGCTAATAACTATGCTTTTCTTCATCTTAGTTACCTATTTCTGATATTGCAAGGCTTTGAGTATGTACCCTTACTCTGTCTTTTGTGTCTTTTTCTCTCCTTCCCTTCTCCCATTATCTTTCCTTTTTAAAAACACTCATATATTGATGGGGAGGGAGGTGGCTATAAAGGAGAGAACAGTAGACTGGGTGTTGGCGCATGCCTATAATCCTAGTGGCTCGAGAGGCTGAGGCAGAAGGATGGCGAGTTCAAAGCCAGCCTCAGCAAAAGCAAGGTGCTAAGCAACTCACTGAGACCCTGTCTCTAAATAAAATACAAGATAAGGCTGGGGATGTGACTCAGTGGTAGAGTGCCCCTGAGTTCCATCCCTGTACCCCTTTGCCAAAAAAGGAGAGAGCAGAAGATGCATGTTTTCACCCACATTCTTATTCATCCATTTAGCAGACATTTATTATGTTTGTTTGAGATGTTGTGGTCAAGCACTAAAGACATTGTAAGATCCTGCTCATGCTCTTTGTGTTTGTAGGATGCAGGAGATATGAATTAATCAACTCAAAACAAGGTAAAATTGACAAGAGATCTATGTGTGCCTCAGAAAAAGTGCTGAGATAGTCCAACAGTGAAAAATGAAAGAAATGGCTAAAGGATAGAGGCAAAATGAGAGATTCCCCCATAAATTAGTGGTAGCGAAGATTTGTGCAAACCCTAAATAATTGAAGGCATCAATTCCATGTTCATGATAATCTCTGAATTATGAGTCATATCTTAAAATATATTAATAGAAAGGGCAATGTGTGTTTAGTTCCAATGAGACTGCTTATCTGAAAATCTAACCATCACATCTTTAATGTTTCTCCTTGTTCTTTGGAGTATTCTCACATGGCCTTTTCTCTCATATTATCTAAATTGGTCATCTCAATTGATCAGGTTTATCAAATAGTAGCTAATCTCTCACACAGAGACCTCCTTCATTTCATTATAGCCTGATAAATTTTCCTCTTCATGGATCTAGACCTATAAGTGAAATTTTATAGCACAAAGGTCTGATATCATTTTAATTAACTCAGCTAAGCCTTCCTATTACACCCAGGAGCAGGAGTTTGCAGGTTAATGTAGTATTCTTAATTACAATGATGAGGCCTGATAAAAATTCTGATATATTAAGAAGTTAGTAGCCCACATTCTTAATTAAGAATTAAGGTTTCTGCTTACTGAACTCAAGATCCATTAAGAACACTGCTAGACACAATGTTTATCACCAGATAGAGAATAAGTCTCTCTATTTCCAGATAGGGGTAAACTTTAACTCTTGAAACTGGAATGGTTTCAGTTCCAGAGGAAGACTCTAGACCTGTGCTGAAGCTACCATGGGAAGGAAAGCAAATTGGAGATTACATTTCTTACACATTTAGAAAGTAGATAAAAAGAGAAGAAAAAGATACATTTGGGTAGGAGGCCATGTCCAGATTCCCCAGCTGTTCAGCAGACTATTCCATCTTCTTGTGTCCAAATGTCCCTCCCCCATGAACCCTGAGGCTGTTGTTTTGACTTCTCATTCAAAATATCAAATGAGCAAGCACAGACACTGAGTGCCATGTTAGTTGGAGGGGACTCACCATTTGCCTCAGAGTCTTAACTAGTTTGAGGGAAATGGCACTCTGTTTCAGGAAACTGAAAATTGCAAGGTCCTAAATTTAAAATAATTGTTAAAATTATGTTCAAAACTAGCTAAAAGACATTAGAACAAAACAGTGCAAAATATGACAGAACATGAGAGGAGAAAGGAAAATTACTATTTCATGGATATAGAGTTTCTGTATGGAATGGTGAAAAGTTTTGGAGATGGATAGTGGATAATGCTTGAACAACATTGTGCATCTACTTAATGCTGTAGAGTTATCCACATAAAAATGGTTGAAATGTTGAGTTTTATGTTTCATAAAAGAAAAGAACAACATAAATGGAAATTAGATGAGATGGTAGAACTCAAATACTAAAAGGGCACAGAGTGTGAATGAATATAATAGATAATACCTAAAAAAAGTAAACAAGAATTTTTAAAATAAAAATGAAGATGGTAAAAAAAAAAAGATTCCAGAGAAATAGTAAATATAAAAGGCAAGAAAGCCAGGCAAATTATACAAAGAATAATGCAAATACACAGGAATTTAGTGTGCCCTAAATGTGAAATTTCAAATCAGTGGGGCAGATTATTCAATATATTGTGGCACATACTACATTTTGGGGTTAAGTAAATAATTTATCTGGAAGGATCCAAAAAGTGGCAAAAGCAGATGTCTTCTAAGGAATTTGAAAATGTAAAGTACTACTCTTTCCATGGTGATAATCCGCTGCCTCCATCATCATCTTGCCCCACTTCATTCCTTTCCTAGTCTCCCTCACCCTCTGCCAGGGCAGCTGCATCCCAAGACGCTGGTCTAGTCAAGAGCCTGTGTATCGCACCCCATATTGGGCTGCTGGGTCCTGCAGCTGCGCACTCTTTGCTCACATTGGCGGGGGGATGGAAGCCAAGAACTAATTTTTCTCGTGAGCTTCAGTTGAAGACAATGGTCCATGAAGGTGGCACGCGCAGGAATCTATGGGGACCTGACAGGCCTCTCAGTTTAGTATTTACACCCCTTTTGAAATGTGATCTGTGTACTGGGCTGCCTGAGGACTTGAGGCCATAGACCTCAGGTTGAGGCCTTGCTTCTCTGCATATATTTTTTTTTTCAAAATATTTTTTAGTTTTAGGTGGACACAATATATTTTATTTTTATGTGGTGCTGAGAATCGAACCCAGTGCCTCACACATGCTAGGTGAGCGTGCTACCATTTGAGCCACATCCTCAGCCCTCTCTGCATACATTTTGATCCTGGACACTATATCATTAGTAATGTGGCACAGTGATAACTGGCCTTATGTGCTTGAAAGTTAATTCAAGTAGTGCATCTATACTGCCGGTGCATGGGTGTTGAGTGAATGATGCTTTATTCCAGGCCATGTCTGGGTGGGCCTCATGCTGCTGCAGTTCACTGGGCTAGGTCCCAGATCATCAGCTGCCCTCAGGATAACTGTGAACCCTTGCCACGCCCTTGGTAAATTTCCCCATGTTTTGTGTTCACCTTTCCCAGCTATAATCTTAGGTGACCCAAACATGTCGGAGATGTGGCCTAAATCATTTTCTAAAATGCCTTTCAGGTAGGTCATAGACCTAGGCCATTCTCCATGAGAGTTTATTGATTTTTGCATTTCTTCTTATCAACCCACCCATCTTCTGCCATTTTCAACATATTTCAGGTTTTATGCTTTTAACCCTAACCTCAACCATTGTGTCTTCATACAATACTTCAGCCATTTCACCTATTCCTGATTCTTCCAGTAAGTTCATAAATCTCTCTTCTTTTTGCCTTCCTAGTGCTAGATCATATTCCTTCTTCTTCCCCCAATTCCTCTCCTTTATACCCTTGTTATTCTGTCCAACTTTCAGTTCCTTCTCATTCAGGCTTTGATCCTCACCTCTACACCAAAGAAGACCACAATTAACAGCAATTCAAAATTCAAAGTCCTCTTTATTACTTATTTTTAATCAATTTTATTACATTTTTAATTCAATGCTATTACATTTTTAATTCAATGCTATTACATTTTTAAAAATATATTAAAATGAATAAATTTTTATCTATGTGGAAAAACATTTGATACCCAAGAGATAGTAGGAGACCTCCTTATTATCTATGAACCAATTTCTAATGTATTTCTTTATTCAATCTTATTGTTTTGAAAATATGTCCGAATGAATAAATTTGTACTTACCTATATCTACATATATGTGGAAAACTATGTGGTGCTCCAGTGGTACCAGAAGGCCTCTTTATTACTTATCTGTTAAACAATTCTTTTACATTTCTTCGTTCAACTTTACTAAGTGTCAAAAATTCACTGATAAGTGAATAAATTTGTATCCATCTATATATATGTGTGGAAAACTATTTGGTGTTCAAATGGTATCTGAAATCCTGTTTATTACTTACCCATTAATCAATTCTATTTATTTATTCAACTTTGTTACATTCTGAAATTATGTCAGAATGAATGAATGCATATCTATGTATGTATGTATATATGTAGAACACTATTTGGTACCTATGTGGTACCAGAAGGCCTCTTTATTATCCATGAATTCTCAGTGGTACCAGAAGGCTTATTACTTATATATTAGTAAACTTTATTATATTTCTTTATTTAATTTTATTAAAATTTGAAAACATATGAGAATAAATAATCTGTCTATCTATCTATATGTGTAAAACTTTGGTACCTAAATGGCACCATCAATCTAATGAGCCCTTATATTATATATAACCATAGTAGCGAGAAATCTCCATCTCTCTTTCCCTCTCAATGAAATACTGAACTTTCCCCACAGCAGTGTACTTGGCAGCATTCTCACGCTCTTGTTGAGCCTTCTTCTTCATGGCTTCCCGCTCTGGCCTCTGCTCTTCCGTGATGGGCGTTGACATTACTGGCTCAGGAACATTGGGTTTCCTCCATGGAATTGGTTGTAAGGCGAAGTCTTGGAGTAGATACTGGTTTTGAGGCTTGAATGGTAGTGGTTGGGGCTTGGTCACTACAGTGGAAGCAGGGTCCCGCTGGAGAGAAGTACAAGATGATGTTTTGTAGGGTGCAGGCCTAGAAGCAGCAGATGGAGGGACACTAGGCTGGGTAGAAGTGGTAAAACTTGACTGAATTGCACTGTTTAAAACTGGCTGAGCTGGCTTGGCTGGACGCATCCAAGATGGGTTGGCAGTAGCTGGTTGGGATTGGTTGACTGCCGTGGGTTGAGCCAAGCTAGTAGAACTAGGCTGAGCAGGGTTTGCCACATTGGGTTTTCGTGAGGCCAGAGACTGTGGCCTCCGATAGACAGGTCGAGGTTGAGGTTTCTCTGGGGTAAGAAAAGGCAGAGGTACCAATTTAACCTTCCCAGGTGGTGGAAGCTCATACTGGGAAGAAGATGGACACCCTTTTTCAGCACCGACATCTGGTTTCTGGGATTTAACTTGTGTTTTCTCAGGATCTTTAACCTCCAGCCATGGTTTCATAGCTGGGCATGGACGGGGGTCTTTGGTACTGCCTGAGTTGCCCAGGGCCCGGGAGGAAGAGATGCCAGTTTTCTTATCATTCTTCTTCCCCAGTGCGTGGAAAACCTGCACCGACTCCAGCATGTGCATGCCGAGACAGCTCCGAGGCTTTTTAAAGTTTTCTTGGCAAAGCTCAGGTTGGTTCCTCTTCCGCTTTGTCTTAGGAGCAGTAGGCTTCTCTTCTGCCTTGAGCGTCTTGCCTGCCTGCTTCCTCTCTTCGGCTTTCTTGGAGCTGTTTTCTCTGCTCCTTTTGTTTTTTTCCTGCCGGTGGCCCTTAGCTCTGCTGTTCCTATTGGATGCGGCTTTCTGAAGTTTGCCATTGGAGTGCTGGGTGGTGTGCACAGGAGACCTATTATTGTCTGCATCACTGCAAGTAACTTCTTCTCCCTCTAATGGGCACTCTGGGTTCCTTGACTGGATTTTGGCCTGAGGAGTTCCATCAGGAGGCTCCGAGGCTTTATGTTTTTTCTTCCTCACTGGATCTCCAGGACCCTCTTTGATGTTTGAGTTTTCTTGCCCCTGATTCATCATAATGGCTCCGATATCATTAGATTGTATTATTGTGGGACTTTCAGGTGGATCAAGATCTTTCAAGCAACTGAAGAGCTCAGGAAGGTGAATATCGTCCACCAGTGCAGCGAGGTCTGGAAAATCACTGCTGAAGTCAATCTCATTTTCAAGTGTCCCCTGGTCCTGAAGACTCAGGCTGTGGTTTTCCAGATTGATATTTTCACAATGTGGCATCTCCTCTTGGTCCAGAGGACCAATGGAGGCCAGAAGCTGGTGGATATCAGGAATTTCTAATGGAAGTAGTGGAGGATCCTGGTTTTCTATTGCAAGCTGGTAGGCATCCAGAGGCTTTGAAAGCATGGTGTTAATTTCGTCCAAATTCTTACTCTCCATTTGCTCTTCTCTTGGAGTGGGAGGCAGTGTCAAGAAATCAGAAGAACTCTGGAGTGGAGTTATTGATATGTCCCCAAGTTCAGTTGGTGGATTACTCTCAAGTATTTGGATATTTCTGCTGCTGCAGGAGTTGGGGATTTCTGGAGGTGGAGGCAGACAAAATGTCTGACTTGGAGGTTGCAATCCCAAGGAAGCCTCCATCCCTAGGGAAGTTTCCATTACTACAAAGGAATCAAGGAAGATGGTAAGTAGGATGCTCCCCCTACAGGGCAACACGTTAATCAGGGAACCGCCAATTGTGGAGAAGGCATTTCTAGTAGCTCTTCCTAAGCACCATGGACAGGTCTCCATTGGGAGGTAGGTGGTGACTCTTAGTTACTGGTGACCACTTGGGGCTGGCAGCATTGTCATGCCAGCATGGCTCAGTGGTATAGCACTTGCCTACTCCATTGGAAACCCATAAAAATGTTTTATGAAGTCTACAATTCTCCTATAAGGTCCTCTCAACTCTCTATATTCTCCCCAAGAGTTTAAGACACCTGAACTATATGAAATATATGTGGAAGAACAGATTTTTAAGACATCTGCTTTGGAAGGATTTCTGAATACAAAGTTTAAATCTTGGAGTAAATTAAGGAAAAATTAAACTGTTCTGAAGTATCTTCCTAAGACACTCAGCAAGATCAGGGAAATAAATTTATATTGTGTTGTTGTAGACGGACTGATCTGTCAAGGCAGTGAGAAGTAGCCTCCTTCAGTGTGCTCCTGGCAGTCTCCTAAATGCATGGTGGATGGCCATTACAGTGTCCTGAATTCTCATCCCTTTCTTAAAATATATTTGTTAAATGTTGATGGACCTTTATTTTATTCATTCATTTATATGCAGTGCTGAGACTTGAACCCAGTGCCTCATGCATGCTAAGCAAGTGCTCTACCACTGAGCCACAACCCCAGCCCCTGCACTCTCATCTTACAGAGTCTGAAAATACAGAGTGCTGAACAAGGAGAGTGGTTAAAGTCTCAGGATTTACATTCTATGAATCTGTGGACCCACAGCTACCAGCTGAAAACTGGACCCTCCTTTTGAATGCTGTTCTTATTCATTCCCCTTTTTGCTGTTTATACTCACCTTGACTATTTGTTTCTGTGATAGGCTGAGCAGACACAGAGTAATAGATCCCCGGGGTAGAGACTGATGGTAGGACATTTGTGGGCTGAACCTCCTTCAGCACCATCACCATTTCTGGTTGAGGGGCAGTGGCACTACCTCCTGCATATGGCACAGAGCCATAGGATTGCAGGCTGGGGCCAAGTTCTCCAGAGAACAGAGTCCCCAGAGTGTTTTGATCATAGTAATAGACCTGGCTTCCTTCTTGGTAGGTAAGTAAGAGGCTATGTCCCTGATTTGGAATCTGAAATGGTGTTGTCTGGACAAGCCTGGCAGACAGTGATGGATACACGGGGACCATGGCATTGGCATCTGAAGTTTTATCATATTGGGCTGTCATAGACATGGAGGAACCTGCTGTGTTCTGATCAATGACAGTCAGAGTAAAGTCCCCAAGTGAAGATGACTTCTTTTCAGTACCTCCTGTGACATTCCACTCAAAAATGCTTGGATAGGAGGCAGGTGCTATGGGGATCTGGTTATGACCAGTAACCCCAGACACCATGGCTGTGCTAGAATGCTGATAAAGGTAGGCACTGCCCATGAGTGGCTGGAAGGAGGTGCCAGAGGTTGAGGGCAGTAGCCATGCTGAAGTGGCAGCTGGAGCAGAGACTCTGGAGAAGTCGCAGACATTTCCTGTCAGAGAAGCTGAATTGCTCACCACAGGAAGAGAGAGCTGCAGAGAATTTGCAGTTCCAAGTAAAGAAGAATTTTGGAAATTTCCTGTAGGAAGCAAGAGGTTGATAAAAAAAAAATGATGAGACAGATTCTTACAATATTTGAGGAACAATATTATCTTAAGATTGTGGCCGTCAGGAAGGCTCTAATCATTGAAATACCACAAATCAAACCATTTTGGATGGTTACAAGTCTTGCAAGTTTGGTACTCTTCTAATCAACTGTCTTTTCTCTCAAATTGGGCACAGAAGACCCACGTGGTCTTCTTCAAACATTGTTTCCTAAAAGCATCCTTCTTCCTGCCCTGTCTTTCCTTTGAGTCTGTACTAGTATGAACTCATGAATATGCCCTAGAACTGAAGCATTTTAGAACTAAAAGAACATCTAACATTATCAGCTTTCAAGTGAGTAAACTGTGGGTCAGAGAGGTAAAATTGACTTGTTCAATATCAGTAACAAGTTATAGAAAATTATTCCCTTTCCAGGACTCTGTGCTCTAGACAAAGACCATAAATCAGGAGAAATAGAATTTGATTTTTCCCCATTCAGAGAAAACAGTACTGGTATCATCACTGTTATCTTCAATGTCTCATTTGCTTGTGCCGATCACATGACATTTCCTAGAGTTTAGTTGTAACATCCAGATGGTAACTTAAAGGGTCATTCTTTACCCTATGGATGCCTGGCTTCGGATCCTACATCAAAATGACTACCTGAGAGTAAGTTCTCAAGAAATGCTTCTTGGAAGAAAAAAGTTATTTAAACTTTCTCACTTTAGGTTAGTCATTTGTAAAGGTGGTTATAATACTAACAGTGATAATTCATCCATGAATAAAAGTGATATATTACATAAGACTTATATGGAGGAAGTTCTGAAAAGATAGAAAGAAAATATGAGAAACAGCACAGAACTAAAAATAATACATAGACACTAATAAAAATCTGGATATGTAACAAATATCAAAGCATAGCAAATTTACTAATAAATGAAGTTTTGTTATCATACATACCATGTGATGAAAGTGAATGTTTCTACTTTATTTTAATGAATACTGTTAGCCAAAACACTGCCCACAATTGAAGGTGATTTTGAATTAATTTCTAACCAGTGCATATAGACAAAGAAACTACTTCAACAAAAAGTGTGTAATAAGCAACAAAATTAAGTAAATGTGAATATATAAGTAGCCACAATTTATGTAGGTAAATATTTCAATAAAAAGTATGATGGAGCCAGGGGCAGTGGCACAGACTGTAATCTCAGCTACTCAGGAGGCTGAAGCAGGAGAATAGCAAGWTAGAGGATGGCCTTGGCAATTAACAAAACTCTTCATCAAAATAAATKTTAAAAGRGCTGGGGGCATGACTCAGTGGTAAAGTGTCCCTAGGATGAGTCCCTGATACTGCATAAAACCAACACCAAAACCAATCCTGCTACATGCAAGAGCAAAAACGAAAGCAAAAACCCACTGTGAAGCTAGGCATGGTGGGGTGGGTCTGTGGTCCCAGCACTCAGGAGGCTAAGGGAGTGGTATTGCTGGAGCCCAGGAATTCAAAGCCACCCTGGGCAATTTAGCAAGATCCTGCCTCAGAAACTAAACAAAATGTGCTGGGGATATAGCTTGTGGTAGCATGCTTGCATAGTATGTGTGAGACCCTGTGTTCAATCCCCAGAAATGGAAAGAAAGACGAAAGAAAGAAAGAAAGAAAGAAAGAAAGAAAGAAAGAAAGAAAGAAAGAAAGAAAGAAAGAAAGAAAGAAAGAAAGAAAGAAA